GATTGCGAGAAGTACATTGGCAGGCAAGTCTGATGGCATTTCGTCTGGTTAATTTCAGCTGTTTCCGCTTCCTGAGATCTCCATCAATAGATATATAGCAAATGCTCTTGCTTTTTGTATTCTCCACGCTGATACGACAGAGTGATTGAATATGCAAGTCGTTAGTGTATGACTGATAATCCATCTAAGTGAAACTGATATTTAGCGTCAAATATCTGCACTGGTGTTTTATTCGTGTTTGGAGTTCAAACCATATATGTCATCAGCGGAACACTGTAAACTAGGATGGGATCTTTTGTGAGCGTGGCAGAACTTCTGAATTAGCAGCTACCTCCTCGGTGTCCTTTGACAAACAGGCTGTGCACTCCGAAGATGAGGACATCCTGAAGCTTTCGGTACTAACCAGGTGATTATCTTCTTGGGGCACACGGTAGTCCAAGAAACAGCTCCTCTTCACATGAATCCCAAAATTCCAAAGATTCCCTCCGTGGTTTCAGTATTGCGTTACCATATTAACTCAGCATCATCAATTAGAGCAATACTTGTTGGTGGAAATCGAATCAGCACGTTTGACTGTCCTTGGCTGCCAACAACAGTGCGACATTGAAGCGAAATCACGAGGAGACGAAGCTCTGGTGTTCAGAAATACAGAAGTCCTCCCACAGCAATTGGCTAATATGATCGGTGTCACGACGCAGCACTCAAACGTAATTTCTAATTTGACTTTCTGATAAATTCTCCAATTCTTTGTTCACTCTACTGCCTCTTCGAACGGAATGTTGTGAAGCACACCCAGCACTGAGGTACTCAGCCACGTGAGTTGGCGGATTATACACTGTTGTCTTCCCGGTTAATAGCGTGAGTTATGCTTGACTAAAGGTATGCCAGTAATACGGGTTGATAACAGTGGTTTTAGTAATAATTTTCGGCTTCTTTTATCCAACTGCCACAATCGCTCATATAAGGGAATCAGTCTCAAGATGAAATCAGTTTACTAACACGCACTATGTAATGAAAGGACAGCACCGTTTCAGAGGTTGAAGGTTCAATTACAAGTACTTCCATATATTCTTGACAGAATAAAATAAATAAATAAAATATAAGATAAAAATAAAAATAAAACTGTTTTATACCGCTTTCTGGCTGTGACGGGAAGAAGCCCGCCATTTTTTGTCAAGTAGACCTTGAAAAGCGAAAAGAGTTTTCCCTTTAGTCATTTTGCAGTTTTCCGTTCGTCTCAACTTATGACGAGTTTGATATGTCACTTGTTTCACTTTGTATATTCGTTTGAAACAGCAACTTTATAGATGAGTAATTGTATAAGGAATTATGATAGGACTGTCATATTTAAGGGCATCTCATCAACATTATTTTGAAACTGGCACCTCACTATAAGGGTTGAGGTGGATTCGATGAACGGAGGTTGCAGTACTTAGTTGTATTTTATTGCTAGGCGATCAGTGTCAATGTAGATAGACTGGTGAACACAGAAGCGAAGAGCTGTGTTGCAACCCTCGGGGATGTCATACACTTCTAACAAGGTGCATAGCATTTTTATCATCATCATTTATCATAAATGGCACAATGGTACTCCTTTCTGAAGTAACCTGCATTCAACGAACAAACTGCTTTAAAAAACTTTCAGGGAACTGCAAAAACTGTGATCATCAAAGGTTACTGCAGCAAATATGATCCAGAGGCACATATATTCAAAACAATCAACTTCTCCAGTGCCACAACACCAAATATGTTCCAACGCGCAATCGAGAGCTATGTGGACAAGCGTGTGGGTACCACGTACGGCCCAGCTTCTGGAAAGAAGATGACGGTTTTTATTGACGATATCAACATGCCTACCATCAATGAGTGGGGTGATCAGATTACCAACGAGATAACAAGACAAATGATTGAAATGTCTGGATTTTATAACTTGGACAAACCGGGAGACTTTACGACAATTGTCGATATCCAGGTTAGTGAACATTTCGCGCACCATTGGTCGGTTCTGTTATTAGTCAGTTCGGTCCGCCTGAGCATTGCCACATTTATCATAATAGCTGGTCGCGCACAAAACTTATAATATGGCTGGTATCCTTGTTTTACTCTTTTAAATGGACATCCGGTGAAAAGAATTCACTCGCACGGATTCACAGCTGGGTCTATCCTCCAGGTGATAAATTTGATGAGGTTTATTTACACACACACACACACACACACACACAGAACCCTTACTGATGTATAGGCTAGCTGCCTTCACCTGATGTATCCATCAGTGGACGAACTGTGTTGCGCCCTGGGGAAAACCCATGATTCTCGGAAGTCCAACTTATGAATAGTTTCCTTTCCGAAAAGGGCACTACTCACAAGGTTGCTGAAAACTCTTCGACTGAAGGACATTATAAGTGAGAGGTTCACCTGGGTCTCCTGTGAAAACCAAATTGATATACAAATGAGAGTAGTTGTCGAAACCCCCTAGTGGTATTCAACACTGCCACCGATATATTATTTCCTCAAAGCATGTTTTTCATTAAATTACACTATCTGCTAAACAGCGCAAAATATTTTTCTCCGCTATTCGAAATTTGATGCTCCCGCTTGCTCAGCTGAATATGCTTCGACGGACTTGATGAAATCCTCCTAGGTCAAACAGCCTTCACACCATTCATACAGAGTAGCGGTTCTCAAGCGGATGGGAATCCCCCATGTGGAATTTCGACGGTCAACGGCAGAAAAACTCATGATTTGGACATTCAGACTACCGGGGAAATATTTACTAGTCCGATTTGGGTGATGTTTTTGGTTCCTCAAAAGTTATCCCTACTGATCTTGTTTTTGTTACCCACTGATTGTAAGCGTGTGTTGACGACAACTGTGTTTATATTCCAAGTGGCATTTCATTTTGTTTGGGGTCCATCTGTGAATCTCTAGATAGGTGAAATCACGTTAATTTGCGAAAGTAACCGGTCACACTCCGTGAATATCTTACCTTCTTTCTCGCTACACTCGTGCCAGCCTTGTACAACTTGCAACGTATGAGGACCAAACAAGCTTTCAGACCTAAACACATCGTTCAAGTTTGGAGACCTGTTCATGTTCATACCATCATTACCTACCGTAGACACTATAACGTACAATCCAAAGCGCAACCACCAGCATGTACAAACTGCAACGAAACTTCATATATTCAGGTCCGGCCTGAAAAATTATTATCTTTGTCCTGCGGCGTGAAATGACCCTGTTGCGTTGACATTTCATTCATCCTACCAATGGTTCCTAATCTGTCCACCGCTTATCGTTTTTCTGTTACTTATGTCAAACACCGAGCTTATTCTGTGGAGTGCCAAAGACGTTCTCGTTCAGTTTGACACAGAAAGACATATCTCATTTACTGTGCAGTTTCTCACCCTATCGTAGGTTTCAGTTGAAATCGCTCTGTTGTTTGTGAGACTGCCAATTGGAAAAGCTGAGTCGACTCTTCTTTTGGCGCTTGGATTAGAAGTATCTGTGTGGATCCCTCGCTGAAGCCCTTGGGCACATGTTATGCCTACTTGATAAGCAGTCTTCAGACAGGATGTGTCACCTCATGCTGATTCAATGTTTCTCGCTTTCCCAATAGACAAGAACAAAATTGTCTATGGTGACTTGTCGATGGTTGTTACTCAAGTTTGATGAAAACCCAATAGCTCCGGTGATTCAATTGTCGAGCTAATGACAGGTGTACAGATTAGCATGAGTGGGGCATGGACATGCAAGATTATCAAACATAAAGAGCATTCATACGAGATGAAATGGACGTTTCTGTTACAGCCTTATTAAAGCTGTTGAAAGCCACCAGGATACAACTGGAATCTCATCACCCCAGTGCAGATAGGCTCCTATGGTTACCCGAGCTATTTTCTCGAGAGAGGTTTATGGCATCGCAATTAGACCCCGCTTATCTGATTCTGAAAATCCAGTGAAAAACAAGCGGTACATCTGATTAAATCACCCATGCTCCTTATCTACACGCCCTGTTCCAAACGTCCCGTTTCACACGGCCCGTCCCATCCCATCCGCTCTGCTCTATGCGCTCCGTTCCGCGCGCCATGTTCCACATGACCCTCTCCGCACACCCCTCTCCACGCACCTCACTTCACACATACCGCTGATACACCTATGGTCCGCGCAGGCGGTTTGCAAACTGATCCAACGCGCTGATTGGCTCAACCCAAGATTCGCTTTCCAGCCTGTCTGTCGCGCACGCGTGTTTGTTCGGTTTTTACTGCGATCCGCCAATAGACGGTCTGTTACGCCGTGTAGCGTTTAATGTGAGGGACATGCGATAGGCTCCGAAGGTCAACGTTTACAACTTCGGGTTAGCAACGTTAGCTAGTGCATTTAGTCTGGGCTCAATCCTGAGACGTCACGGCATCTGTGACCAGTAAGCTGATGTAGGATTCGCCAATGACGAAAAAACACCGGCGCTGAGAAGACAATCTTTCCAGTAAAAAAATCGTTTTCCACTGCAACCCATTTGGATGAAAGAACCGACCAAAATAGAAGGACAGGCATTTTATGGATCCTTAGCCACCCCATTTTAGTTTCTTTTAATATTTTTACCTTGCCAGTATCCGATTTATACCGAGCAACATTTACACTATTAAACTAAACTGAAGGCTCCTGCACAATATCTCTGCTTTTGCAGGACATAAATGTAAACCGATGTGCCTACGGGATGAAGGACTTATCATAAATGCCTGAAAACTCAACACCCACCAGGAGAGGTTCATCCGTTTTCATGGTAGAATGCAGGAACCATGCGCTACAACACAATCGGTGAAAAAGTGATGGTATCTCGTTGATTGTAATTCAAGGGAGGTCATTTTGCTGTATAAATACCGCTTAAAATAGGTGAAGTGGTCAACCGCACAGTTCCACGTACTCATCGGGAACGAAGTGAATGAACTTCAGATGCACTGCTTACAAAACACCGGACACATCGGCTACCTGTCTACCATTTTGCCTACAATTGCGGTGACACTTACATTACACTGAAAAGAATGCATGGACTTCTATCCACATCCCCAATTAGGTTCCACAACACACATCAGTGTGCCGTCTTCGTCGATCACAAGACAAATCGCATTCAGGACTTAACGGATTGACCGAATGTAACCGTTTAGCATCCCGTTAGGTATCGGAACCCAGACATTCTCTCACTTGGTGGAGCTTCCCTAATTACCGAACATCGGCCAAAATTATGTCCACAGAAGTTTATCAGACAAACGTCTGGATGTCGTCATCTTAGACTTGACCCTGGTCGATCAGACATGATTCGTAGTTTTCGTTCTCTTCTATTGCTTTAGTTATATGGCTAGAGAGAATAAGCCGTACGTTACGATGTTACGTTACGATATTAATTGTTATGACGTACGTGATACATTTAATGGGGGGGGGCAAGATGGCTCGGTGTTTGGAGCGGGAATTTACTGACGGGAAGGGCCGTGGTTCGAATACGACCTCTGCCTCTCGATTTCCCCCGTCTACCTTCTGGTGGCACAGCAATGGTGCACCGAAAGGGTGCTACATCTGAACGACATGATACATTCTAATCAATTACACATGAATTGTCCATCTTTGCATTTTATTCAGTGCTGTTACTTAGTGCAACGTCACACGTCTAGGGGCTGAGCCATGCTCAAAGGCCATGACTGCCTTCAATCTCCCTGTTGGGGAAGAGTTCGTTAGTTTCATCACGGAAACTCTTTTCATTCTCATGAATACTACTGAAACGATTAGCCTGCCTCTTCAGTGTCGTTTTGCATACGGAGCGTCTATGATTCGCATTCCACTTTTACTTGTACCCACAGATGGTTGCGGCCATGAATCACCCTGGAGGTGGACGAAATGACATTCCACAGCGTCTGAAGAGACAATTCAGTGTGTTCAACTGCACCCTTCCAAGTAATGCCTCGTTGGATAAAGTATTTGGCACCCTTTGTCTCGGTCACTTTTGTACTGAACGTGGATTCACTGAGTCGGTTATTGATACTGCCCAAAAATTGATAGGTGCCACGCGAAAGGTGTGGCAGCGTGTCAAAATCAAAATGCTCCCAACTCCGGCGAAGTTTCACTATGTCTTCAATTTGCGTGACGTGAGTAGGATCTGGCAAGGAATGCTGAGTACAAGTTCCGAGGTGATCAATTCACCCCAGACACTACTTGCACTTTGGAAGCATGAGTGTACACGTGTGATTGCCGATCGATTCACTGAGCCGGCAGATAGGAAATGGTTCGACAAAATGCTTCATGAAGTTGGTAAGTTGTAAAATCAAAATTACAAGTCCATTTTCTACTCTTTGTTCCTTATTCTAGATGGTATTTTTGAAACTTAGTAGACATCTCGTGCAGAGCTCCGCGCTAAGTCAAGCCTTCAAAATCTGTCGCCCAGAATCATGCACGAATCACCGAGAGCCGCGATTGTCAAGCGCTCAGCGACGGTGATTTTCGGAAGAATAGTACCTCATAAATCTCAAGCCAGAAAAAGATAAGGATATCCAATGAGATGTCCGAACGATGCGGACTGGTGGTGCAAAATTAAGAAAGATATGATGAGTAGATTTCAAAATGCTGATCTGGGGCTCACCAGGTGGCTGCAGAAAGATCGGTCACGTGGCCAGCTCACACGTGGCCTTTAAGACGGCAATTGTACAGCCGGTGATGTGAACTGATACACAAGATTTGTACTGATCGGCGGGCGATTTCCTAAGGGAATCTGGCTGACACAAGCTACAAGCTATTGGTTAGTTGATCCAGCAACACAAGCGTGATTGGTGGCTCCGTAGTCCCGAGGTCAGAAGATCATGCGGTTGGTCTCTCTAAGTCTAGTTGATTGGTCCACATTATCTAGACCTCTCAGTTGGCCTAACTCTCTGGACTGGGAGCACAATTGTCTGAATTAATTATAAAAAAGTTGATCATTCAGCTGTAACACCCTTTCGGAACCTAGTCGCCATACCACCCGGGGGAATTAAGAGGGCTGAGATACTGGCAGGTTGCCTAAGCCTAGACGGGAGCAGTTGAGATACCGGGGTTGAATTCGAACCACAAACTATTTGGTCATTATGTTCGAACCTTAACCAATTTGATCCCCCAGGCTTAGTTATTATAGGATCTTAAATGAGAACTGATGAATAAGTTTTTTGACCCAGACGTCCTGATATTTCCCATAAGGTGTCTCCATACCAAACCTAGGCTGTTCCTGCTATTGATTAATACATGTTCTACGGAGTGTGCAACGCTTTGAGCTTCCGGTCACAGGTTTGACCTCTGTCGAGGTATGCTAAGTGACATCGATGCGTGAGTATTTTGTCAACCATGTATAGCACTAGTACCAGTGGGATACTTCTAGTAGAAGTTGTCATAGGGTCAGTGCGAGTCACACCCACAAGTCCGCCTGTTTCCCCCTTTTGGAATTGTTAAACTTCCTTTCCGAACGGAAACTTCAGGTATTAGAGTTGGATACGATATCACTCCGCGGAGGTCGCTGGCTTGTCGCGCTAGTGTGAGCTTAATTCTGTTAAGTAAGCCACATACTTAGACTAAAGCGGAGATGTGTGCAGCTTAGCATTCGCGAATGCGTACATTGGTCGTGTTATGACGGAAAATGCCTCTTCCCATCTCAGACCACAGTTTTCCAAGGTATATTTCTGTGTCAGTTGGAATATGACTACTTATGACTACTACTCATGTGGCTCCCGTTTAATTTGTCTTCCACACCCTGTCCAGACAAGTTTATCCTGGCTAGTCCAAACCAGAGGGAGAAAACAATAGGACTGAGCTCTCTTTTCATCCTAGTCACTCACCACTGCATATCCTTGGCCTGGCAGGGGCTGAAACTCCGATGATCTGATATGTGACCCGAGTTTGCTACCACTGTTCTACTAATTGAATTGTCAATCTTAATCAGCCGTAAAATGTCCACGATTGAGCGACGGATGGACTCAAGAACACGTCTGTTTGCTTCAGAATCTGACCTTGAAGTTTTCGAGAAATACACTCATTCGCAAATCAGTTTTGTTTTCACGAGAGACTCGAGTGAATCTCTCGTTTATGATATACTAAAGGAGAGATTCACGTGGAAACCAAATTGAATCGCAAATGAGTGTATTTCTCGAAAACAGTCCAGTTTGGGTTCAAGTAGAAAATAAGTTTGACAGAAACTCGGGACTACGCCTACCTAATGAGCCCCAAGAAGGGCGAAACCGGTCGTACGCTGTCGAAGAGTTTTCAGCAACCTTGTGAGTAGTTTCCTTTATGAAAATCCTTGGAGTTGTTCACATCTCTGTACTATACAAGTCTTTCCTGATAAAATCCAATACCCTGCATTTTGTTTTAGGATCAGAAGAGTGTCCAGGTCTTATCACACCTTCGACTTGGGAAGAACATTATTTTGTGGACTTCCTACGTGACGCGCCTGAAGCAACTGGTGACGAAGCGGAAGACGTGGATCTGGAGGCCCCTAAAATCTACGAGGCAATCGAGAGTTTCCAGCAGCTTGAGAGTCGTCTCACAATGTTCATGAATCTGTACAATGAAGCAATTCGTGGATCAAAGCTTGACCTGGTGTTTTTCACGGATGCCATGGTACATCTGGTCAAAATCTCCCGAGTGATTAGAACATCCAAAGGACACGCTTTGTTGGTTGGAGTGGGTGGTTCCGGAAAACAATCGCTGACTCGTTTGGCTTCATTTATTGCCGGATACAAAACGTTCCAAATCACTTTGACCAGGTAAAATCCTCCAAGGAAATTACCGTACCAAGTTTACAGCTATCGTTTTGTACTGGCTGCCCATCTATTGTACCCCTGTTATACTACCATGCTGTCCTCGAAAGGGAACGTCCCGAGATTCGATAAAACCAGTCTTGTTGAACGTTTTCTGTATCCGGATAGAATGCTTGATTAACAAAGGATAAATCGACTCCCTTAAGTACAAGTTTCAAAGGAAGAATATAAAGCAGAAAATAACTGAATATTTTATTGGTTGTATATTAGAATAGAGCTATCTGATCGGGGGCCCTGGGATCACAGATCTCACGTCCGAATTTCAGGAAGCTAGAAAACATTAATCCTCTAAACTATCTTGAAATTGTTCGTGACTGGTTAGAAGGCTGACCCGGGAAATGGTGCACTCACTGAAAACGAACAGTCCGTAGACCAGTAACTGAAAGATTCATGCCTCTGCCGATTGAATCATCACAATAACCCGGTTTATAGGGCCAATGGAATTCATACTGGTAAGAAGTGATTTCCTGAACAAATCCGAACTATCACCCGGACCAGACGGAAATTTTATCCTCGCTCATTTTGAGCTCCATTAGACATTCGCGAGTGGTCCAGAAGCGCGTCCTTGGAATAAGTCGCTTGTTGTACCAATAGCCTGAACTACAACCAGGATGCGCTTGAGACTGACCTGACAGCCACAACCGGGTCCCTACAAGATTAGTAAATGACTAGATCTGATAATGTCAGTTGGACGATTGGAAAATAACTACTTGAAGTGACTTTTCAGCTAAGCCTAAATGATAAAATCTGTCAGGAAGTCAGATGGCTTGAGAGCTGGTGAACTATCGCTCGGTGAAACAAAAAGTTCCGTGCAGTGTTCAAGATGCTTCTGTACCCCAGAGGTCTCGCGTCAAACACTATCCGATGACACTTGATAAACCGAATGGTTGGCCGACTAGAACGTATAAGTGGTGGCTTACCATTTTTTGTTTGTACCGTAAGGCTTGTCACACTAAATCCCTCGTAGCCGTTCCAGACCCAAATAGTTGTGCATGTGCCCTGACCATAAGGAATGCTGCATAGCACTACATCACATTAAAGTTTCGAGAACTTGTTTGAACTTTTACTGGCCTTGTTTACTGGACGCTTTTCTAGTTTTTATTGCGATCTTTCGGTGTTTCGACACAGAATTAGCCAATGTGAGAATGCGGTGCGAGTGGCTTCACCTTCCCCTATCTAAAGCTGATGATGATGACGTCATATTCACCTTTTCGATCCAGTTTGTTCTTTGCGCGATGCCCCACCGGGTGAAATTCCCAAATACTATGATGACCGGTATGCTGAATGATTGGTGTGAGTTGCTGCGTTATCCTCTTGAATACGTTGTCTGACTTCTAGAGACTGGGATATTCGCCACTGCATCTCTCAGTAAAACCGTGCACGCTGAATCATATTCCATATAAAAGGACGACATCAGCATTCTCAGTTTCGGTTGACCGACTGATTTAGAGTGCACTTCGTAGTACTAGGATGTGCATTGTTTATCCTTTCGCTTTCCGCCGCGCAAATGCAGCGGCTTTCATTGCTCACAAAAAGCGGCTTGTAAAATATAACAGGCTCTTTGCGCCCCCCTAATAGCTTGAAGATTCCCTCGGTTCCAGCGAAAACAGAGGGATAAACATTGCATTTTCGGGATCTGGTCTGCAAGGTACTAATGAAATAGGGATAAACCATGTAATAAATAGCTAAAGTTGGTTACCAAATTAAAAACTAGGGGCGGGTCGATTATTGTCACATGACCAAGAAAGACTCAGAACTCTGACAGTGTCAGTGGCCTGCATAAGCCCGGATTTCCGGACGGAAGAGGCCGGGCCCACCAGCCCTGGTGAACAAGAGGGGGTCCACATATCGAAGGCTAGTTCTGTTCTTCCGTTCGTGCGTTGTGCCCTGTGGAAATCTGAGCCGAGCGCGCCGGAAATGTTGAAACAGTGGTCACATAAAGCATGAAATTCGCTTTCAAACCACTCACCTGAACGGTCCTCCTTCTGTCTCTGCACAATCACTTTGGTGAGTCTAAACAAAAGAGGGATGCACCACACTCGAATCTGACTCTTACTGGTGCTCAGCAGCACTACGTACCCTCTAGCCTGTTGCTTTCAAGGCCACCGTGTTACCACTACCCCATCAGTACACGCTGGATGTACCGGAATTATCACGTCCAAACAAGCGAGCGAGTCAAACGACGACCCAGGCACTGTCCTTGTTGTATCGATCGATTGCCCTACCCATAAGGGGTTCATCATCAGATAACAAGAGCAGAACTCGAGTATAATTCATCCTCCTCCGATGTGGACTCACTGGAATAATTGGGCCAGGACACAAGGGGGACTGTTCAAACAAGAGTGGAGTGAACGTGAACTCTACAAACCCTGCATCCACAAATAAATAGTTAATTCATAACCCACACAAGTGGATTGGAGACAATTAAATGGTGGCCGGGGTTGTATGCGGTTAAGTGAATGGTTTCTTGGTCTGACTAACTTGAACACCACACCCAGCTGCCACTGGGTGTTAGCATAGCTGGCGAGTCTGTGCAAAGAGTAATTCAACAGATTGAGCACAACAAACGATTATTGGTTGTTGATCCGACGGTTGTTTATCTGTTCTCAGAGCTTGGCAACAAGTGCAAACGTTTCGGTAGCAAACGGGGTGACATCAATAGTGCGCCCCCAAACCCTACAACCCAACCACCCACCGATGCCCCCTCGTTTGTTGACGGAAGGTTTGCGAATTGGTTGTCAAGCTCGGTGAATAGATCAACAGCCACCAGATCAACAAAGAATAGACCTATCCGAGCTAGTAACATTTCAGCAAATGACTGCTGAAAAGTTTCCAACCCAATTCAGGACGCAATTAGCCTCACTTGGTGAAAACTTGACGAGCAATCGTATACCCTGGAAAGAGGTTTGTGACTACAGACATATTTGATCTTAGTTACAGTTACAGGTGGTACGTGATTGACCATCAACAAAAATGGATTGGCGTAACTTCACGAAAACAACAGTCATTCGACCAAATTAACTCACCTTTTATCAGAGCGGATGAGATCAGTATTTGGAAAACTCGAGTTCCTAATATAACAGAAGATCGATTCGGACACGTTTTTGAGGTCATCATGATTCTGTGAACATAAGTGTGTAGTGCGAATACTGAATATCTCTACCTGCTTTCGACAAATGCACTCATTTTTCATTCCAATTTGATTTTGATGGGTGACTCAACTGGAACCCAGGTGAATCTCCCGTTGAAGATGTTTTTTTTAACAACTGAATGTGCTGCACAAGACTGCCTCATCTTTCAGGTGTTACGATATTCGAGATATTCCGATTCATGTATGGACGTGATGCACTAATCATAAGGTTGCTGGTGCAGGATATTCAGTTGCTTAAAAACATCATAATTGAGAGGTTCAGCTGGGTTTCGGGTGAGTCTCCCGTCAAATCTGATTTGCAAATGAGTGGATTTGTCGAAATCCGTCTAATTTCGGTACAAGTAAGACATGAGTTTGACGGAAACTCGGGAACCGTGCCTACCTGATGAGCCCCAAGATGGGCGAAATTGGTCGTGGGCTGTCGAGGAATTCTCAGCAACCTTATGAGTATGGTACTTCATTTAAGCACTATCTCTTTATCCCGCTTACTTTCAGATCATACAACGTGAACGACCTGACAGAGGATTTGAAATATCTCTATCGAACGGCTGGTCAAAAAGGATCAGGAATAACCTTCATTTTCACAGACAATGATATCAAAGATGAGGCATTCTTGGAATACCTGAACAACATGCTAAGCTCAGGAGAGATAGCCAATTTATTTGCCCGGGATGAAATGGATGAAATTCTGCAAGAATTGGTAGCGCCCATGAAAAAAGAATTCCCCAGACGTCCAATCACAAATGAGACTTTGAGTGAATACTATACGAGCCGTGTTGTGAAGAACTTACATATTGTTCTGTGCTTCTCACCTGTTGGTCAAAAGTTCCGAAGTCGAAGTCTGAAATTTCCGGGACTGATTTCAGGTTGTACAATGGACTGGTTCCAAAGATGGCCCAGGGATGCGTTGGTTGCGGTATCCAATCATTTTTTGTCCCGTTTCGACATAGTTTGCAATCCGATTGTGAAACAGGCTGTGGTTCAGACGATGGGCGTGTTTCAGGTAACTTTCGTAACTTTCATGTCTCCAAATTTATGTGAATTGTGAGCATCTGTGTTGACTTCACGCTCAATAAGCTCGGACTGGTATACACATTATATCTACAACCATAAACTCACCCAGCATCTCCGTATTCAAGACAAATACTTCCTCCCTTGTAGGTATATTTGGAACGATTATCTTGTGCGTGCTTTGTTCGATTGTGTAAGATAGTGTGGGCAGACAGGCCTTTTACAGTTTACTTTATGGAAGTTCGCTTGTTTTCACTCGGGAAAACTAAGGAAATGAGCGTTCTGGTGTCAGTAAATCGCTACTAGTGATTTTCGGGAGCAAAGTAATGGGTGCACGACTGAATCTACCTGTGGAAATAAGAAATCGCCTTAATATAGCAGGGGGTGACTATCCGATTAGATACTACAGCATTACCAACTTCCCATTCGCTGCTCAACTTTTATATCCGAAATTTGGAATAATTTGTAAACTGCTTCCTGTAACAAAAAGCTTCAAACTGTGGGAAGACAACTCAAACGGATGACCGTGCTACCCTGCAGGACATGGTACAAAACCGATCCGGGTGCGCGCGCGCAGGATGTCATACGCTATCCGGACTGCCTAGCTCAATTTCGCCTGTCGTGCGCTGGATTCGTATCGGTCGAGGTTTGCAAAGGATTTTGGATTGGTCCCACTGATGGCACCTTACTTCGATATGTTTACTTAAATGCTGTCCAAAATTTGGCACTCTATTCTTTAGCGTTTACATCGAGGACAGAGAGCTTTTTACACTAAGTCCAAACCCCTACCTCTTCTTTCCTCAGAACAAGCCAAATACCCTATTCTGTGGTCTGCATTCTTAAGGAAATTGCCATTTGCACAAGCCATCTCATGAAGAAACAATGGGTTTTTAATCAGCAGAACATCCACCTGTCTTACGTAACTTTCTATTCATGCAATACCCTCCAAAAACACTTATCAATTCTTCTAGGACACAGTGGCGGAGGCGTGCATCGAATATTTTCAACGGTTCCGTCGCCAAACACACGTTACCCCCAAGTCTTACCTGTCGTTCATCAATGGTTACATGGAGATTTATGGGCAAAAGCGTAAAGAAATCGAGCTGCTTTTTGAACGAATGAACGGCGGTTTGAAAAAGTTGGTCGAGGCTACCGAATCGGTGAATGAATTGAGTAAACAACTGGTAGAGAAAGAAAAGGAGTTGCAAGTGGCAAATAGGAAATCGGAAGAGGTTTTGGAAGAAGTCACGGTGAAGGCTACTGCGGCTCAAAAGGTGAAGGCCCAAGTTCAGTTGGTGAAAGACAAAGCTCAAACACTGGTGGATGCAATCAGTGTGGACAAAGCCAACTCCGAGGAAAAACTAGAAGCGGCTAAGCCGGCTCTGATGGAGGCAGAGGCTGCTTTGGAGACCATCAAACCTATTCACATCTCTACAGGTAGGTTCGTTTGGTTCCACGCACGCTCGATCAGGTTATTTCATCTCATTGGTTGGTAGAAAAGTTGTACTAAGGGTTCATGGGATTGCTGGCGAAATTAGTCTTCTCCTTCAGCTGCTTTTATACGCAGAAGGTTTTTAATCGGAACAACTTCATGCAAAGCACCTATTTGTAATTTGATATGTGCCTCGTCTTCTAACGTATTCAGACAACCTGAATTCTGGTGAATATTCGGAGTGCGTTCCTATGACTAGTCCTCGATCATTCCCAATCTTCGGTACATGCCTCTATGTCAACTGTGCTCATTTAAGACCTCCATAACTTGTTTAGAGCTTGTGAGTTTTCTAACCAACTGCCTAGCATTCCAATATAAACGGCATTTCCGTTTTTATGGAACCGTTGGGAAAAACGGCAAAAAATTGACTGTTTCTAACGAAATCCACTCATTTGCAACCAAATCTGGTTTTTGCGAGAGACTCATCTAGAACCCAGCTGAATCTCTCGTTTATGATTTTTGTAAGAAGAATTTCCAGCAGCCTTATGAGTAAGGTATTATGTCTATATCGACTGTTTCTGTTTTCTAAAGTCCGGAAGCTTGGAAAACCACCTCACTTGATTATGCGCATAATGGACTGCGTACTGTTGCTGTTTCAAAAACACATGGATCGAGTTGTTGCTGACCCCGAACATGCTTGCCCGAAGCCGTCTTGGGGTGAGGCACTGAAGATGATGGGGGGTGCCAACTTCCTAAATGGGCTATTGAACTTCCCCAAAGTGAGTTCCATGCATTTTCGCGTGACTGTCGCTCAGGCTTTTTCACAGGCGCAGTACTCTCAAGGAACGGAGACACCAACTCCCAATAAATTTGCTGTACCATAGTTCAGAAAAGAGGTAGTATGACTACCGGTGTGCCATGATTTGGATTGCTCTTGTTAGGTACCATATATGTGCACGTCACATTTTTCGCCTTCACAAATCGACAATGATCATTAAAAGAGAGCTAAATATGCTAACTAAATCCGGTTCTTCACTCCCCATTGGTCATAACCTTAGTTCCGGTGGATGAATCTCGTATCCCTTCCCATAGAAACTCACAATTACCCATTCATAAGGTTTTCACGATGTCAGGTCGATTGGCATCGAGACGCTTGTCACCTAAGTGTACAGCAAAGAGAATAGACCGGTAACTGCATAAGCATGCGAAATAACAATGTTACGTCTGAAAACAGGAAGTTTAAGTGAGCACAGAATTAGAGAAATGAGATGCTTTGGAGCGGACTTGGACCTCTGACCTTCCGCTTACAGGGGGGGTGCTCTGCTGAGGGGTATGACGAACAGCAGACGTCATCAGTAGTTCATCTGTTAGAGTATCTTTAAGTTTAACGGAAGGTCGGCAATCTTTTGGCTTATACTGAATATACTCGGACTCGTTGTTCCAACAAACAGTAAAATGTGGTTGCAACTTTAAGTGTGAAAAGCTTGCTCTGAGGTTTGACCAAAATTTTCACTTCAGCATACCTTCGTTAACCTTAAGCGGACTTTGCAAGAGATCTGCTTATTGCCTACATTTTGCTGAGACACGCATTTTGGCGGTATGACTGCAGTGGACGTCAATTCAGAATAACGGAAGTTTTCACATTGGAAAATACAAAAACCAAGACTAATGTTTTTTCATTTTCATTTCATTTTTTTCATGGAGAGGATAAATGAATTGGGTAGAAGTGTGTATCTGGTTTCAAGAAAATCGAACCAGAAACACCATTGTACACCGTAGTTTTGTGATTCACACTGATAGTATAGTATAATATATATAGACTGGTGTATGCTAGTATGCACTATATACTATATATATGTGAATATGTATATATATAAGCAGCATCCGAATTGGATTTGTTGGCTAACAGTTGTCCGAACATTGGACACCCGCATACAGGAGGAAAATCACAAGCAGTCTGCGCCGAGCTGAACGTGGTGCTGAATGCAGTCCTTCAGGCAAAAATATGATCCAAAGTGAACAATACCGGCGGCATACCGGTACATAAAACACTCGCAGGCTAGCAGCCTGCCTGAATATAGCGACACATGAATGGGCACTGGCACCAGCTAGTTGTTTAGCATTGAGGTACCGGCGTCAGCTGTCAGTTCAGACTAATACCACACCTCTCCCAGTATACTCCGATAACAGCTCATTAAAACACCGCAAAGATGGTTATGGATAACCTGCTATATTCCATGAAGCATTTGTCCATCGACGTTGTCATCACTAAAATGATAATATCAGGCGTCCAATGGACCCGCAAAGAATGGATAACCTGCTATATTCCATGAAGCATTTGTCCATCGACGTTGTCATCACTAAAATGATAATATCAGGCGTCCAATGCAATGGGGGACTACATATATATATACATATATATATATATATATGTATAACATACATATGGCCTTTCACAGTCCTGTTTCAACTCTAATTACCGTGGTCACTTTGACTGACAGGTGTCTAAGAAGTATATCTCGTGATTTTCAGACAATCACTGTCGTCAACTCACTTGTGAGCCACGTGATAAGTCCTGGTTAGCTTTTTGGTTCGTTTTAGGGTAACTCACCGGATAAGTATAGGTTTTTTGTCATGTACGTGTACATTCATATGCGGAAATGAGTTGGTGCTGATTTTCTCTTTCTCCTTGTGTACCCCTTAAAGGTTGTTCTTAGTTGCATCGTGTTGATCTGTGTCGCGTCAGCCTCCGGTTGGTCGTATGTATCGTCTGGAGGGTGGGTCAACTTTGTGGCAGCCATTACCCTTGTGTTTGCTGCCCTGTTCTACATCTTCTATTTGTTCAATGTG